CCAAGTTGGTATTGATCAATGTTTTGTCATGCCAAATGAAGGCAAATTAGAACAGTCCTATGTCTAAAGCAGTCATTGATTGAATAGATCTGTCGTATTTGCTATGGACTCATCTTGGAGTAGGGCAAAAGAGAGGGAGACCTTGATTTTTATCAAGATAATCAGAGGCTGCCACAAAGGAAAGAATTTTGTGTGCAATTAACTGTTTCATTTGAGTTTGGTCTTAATTCCATCCTTCAGATTCTTTTGTGCTCCTGCTGTGAAAGACCACCAGAATCCCTTGTTTATCTCATGGTGCCTGCTATCCAGTTTCTTTTTGTTTGAAAAGCTATTTATGTTAAAAATTTTTAGGCCTGTCACAGTTCTCTCATATAAACCTGCTCAGAGTTGTGTAAACCTTCCTTATTTACAGTTGTTAGATGCACTTTACCAGTCTTTCCTACTATAGTTTCTCCAGTAAATTCTTTCTATTGTCTCTTAAATTCACTGCATTTTATTCTCTTTATTTTTTAATTTTTTTTATTCTTTAGTCTTTTTAAAAAAAATTTATTATTTCTATTTTATGTGTATGCATGTATTGCCTGCATGTAAGTAAGTGTACCCTTGTCGTGCAGTGCCCACAGAGGACAGAAGAGGCAGTTGGATCCACTGGGACTGGAGTTACAGATAGTTGTTAGCTGCCATGTGGGTGCTGGGATTTGAACCCGGGTCTTCTGCAAGAACAGTCAGTGTTCTTAACCACTGAGCCATCTCTCCAGCCCCTATTCTTTAGTCTTTTTGAGACAGGCTCTCCCTGTAGCCCCAACTGACCTGGCACTCACTATGTAGACGAGGCTGACCTCCATCTCACAGAGATCTGCCTGCCTGCTTTCTGAGTGCTGGGATTAAAGGCATGTGCCACCATGCCCAGCTTGAATTTTATTAAGTTAACTTTTTTGTTTTTTTGAAATAAGTTCTTTGGATCTGTATTCTGAACTTTTGCTATAATACTGTTTTCTTCCTGCCTTATTTTTTGGGCTGTATCTTGGCTGTGTATCATCATCAGGTCACACTTTCTTTCCTCTACAAACTTACAAGAGCATTGCTGCTGCTGCAGAGGTTAGTAGATAGCTTGCCTTCTATCAAGTTTAATTCTTGTAAATTTAGGTGTTCCATGTTCTAAAACAGAATGCATCTTTTTTCAATGTGCGCTTTATAGACTTTTATAGTTTCTATACAAGCTTCTGTTCCCTGTTTATTAGATGTGCCATATTCTTCAGGGGCATGTTATTCTTCCTAGATTGTCTTAGTTTTCTTTTTTAAACAATATTTTCATTCTTTGGGAATTTCATGCAGTCTGCTTTGATCATATCCACCCCACCTTCCCCTAACTCTTTCCAGATTCACCCCACCTCTCTGACCCTCCCAACTTTCGTGTCTTTTTAAAAAAATTAAGTAAAATAATCCATGAGTTCCAATTTGTTCTGCCCAGATACTCCTAGGTGTGGGGTCATCCACTGGAGTGCAGTTGACCTACAAGGGGCAATACCCTTGTAATAAAAAGTGATCCCATGAAAACTCTCCCTTCCCTTGAGGCCATCAACTGTCTATAGCTTTTCAGTTACAAGTTGGGGCTTGTGAACTTTCCCATCCTCTGTGCTAGAACGTTGAGTGGTTTGGTGTTGTACAGGCAGCTACAGCTGCTCTCAGTTCATGAGTGCAGCAGTCCTGTCATGTCCGGATGACTGTGCTTCACTCCAGTTTTCCCATCTTGGCTCTGACAGTCTTTCCCTTACCGCTTCTTGGATGGTCCCTGAATTTTCTGTAGCTATTAATTTCTCTCTGACTACCTTAACCTACTGCTCCTTTTCATTGCTGTAATTATTTCAAGGCATTCTTTTGGCAGTATCTATCTACAATGACATTTGGCGGTGGCCATATGCACACCACATTGCTTGTGGAGGTCAGAGGACAACTTGTACAAGTTTGTTCTCTATTTGTCCCCTGTGGGTCCTGGGGATTCAACACAGGTTATAAGGCTTGACAGCAAGCACCTTTGTATCATTTCCCTGCCCTTTCAATTTCACATACTAATTCTGTAATGTTTTCAGTCATTACTCTGGTTCTACAATCCTCCTTTTTGCCTTTTTTCCATTTTATCGTCTTATTCTTCTGTTTACTAATTTTGATTTAGAATAGTTTTAAGAACTACATGCTGAGTTAAATTTATTCAGTATTTGCTCAGTTTTTGACTATTTGTATGCACTTTGTTTTTCCTATTATTTTCTGTAGTCTCTTTATCATACAACTTTTTTCATTGTGTTTTAAAGGTTTTGTTTCAGGTAGGTGTTGGCTTGAGACAGGGTCTTACTAAGGATTCTAGACTGGCTTCCACTTGTTACCTTCTGTCCGCAGCCTCCCAAGCACTGACAATGAAGTGCTGTGCCACCAGTCCCCGTGCTGCTCATGTTCATCTCCTTCTTTGTGGATAGTTGCTCCATTAAAATTTGTGTTAACTTGTAAATTTCCACCATTTGGAAACTTTAGTTTAAGGGCCAAATAATTTTTTATTTTTCTGAAGCTGAGGGAACAAGACGGGAGCACTCAAAGCTTGGCTTTAGGCACCGTGAATGTTACAACTCTGTGCTAACTTTTCTTTCTAATAATAACTGATCCAGTCTTTATTGCTTTGCTTAGCTGGGTGGATGTAGTCTTACTCCTATGGAGGAGTGACCTATGGTTCTTTCTTGGTCTTGATCACTCTCTTCCTTTTATTCTCCTCCTCCTTACCTTTACTATAAAATTTTCTCGATTTTCCCTGAACCAATAGAATATTATTCTGTAGGCAGAAAACAAAACAAAACAAAAAGCAGCAACAACAAAATAAAGATTGGTTCTCTCCAGGTTTGGGAGTTTTGATTATAATCTCAGTATTTGGGGGAATTAGAAGCAGGGTTAATAAGTGAATCTTGTAGCCCAGCTTTGGACAATTTTTAGTGTTGTCTAAAGTCTTCCATTTTACTCATGGTTTGCCAGTTTTTATTTAATGCATTATTATCTGCTCTTCTTCCCAATTTAGTTGGTTATTGGTTGTTTTATTGGGTCTATTCATTTAAAAAATGATTAAAACAAGTTTTTGTTTTGTTTTGTTTTTTGACTTTTTTGAAACAGGGTCTCTCCACAGCCCCAGCTGGCCTGGAACTCGCTGTGTACACTGGGCTGGCATCCATCTCACAGAGATTCACCTGCCTCTGTCTCCCGAGTGCTGGGACTAAAGATGTGTGCCACCACGCCTGTCCTGTTTGAGAAAGGGGCTACCTGTAGCCCCAGCTGGCCTGGAACTCAACTATGTAGACCAGGCTGGCCTTGACCTCACAGAGATCCACCTGCATCTGCCTTCCTGGTGCTTGTTTTTTTTTTCTTTTTAACACTAGAAAATAAGTAATACAATTTCAAAACACTTGCATAAGGCCCAAAATTCACAATTCGCTTTATATATTTACCAACATTATGTGCCCTTTGTACCTGCAGGCCTTCTACTTGTGAGCTTTATCGTTTGTGTTCTGTGACCAAGCGTTAATGTCTTTATTTTTTAAATATATTTTATTTATTTTTTATTTGTATGAGTGTATTGCCTGTATGTATATGAGTTCACCCATGTTGTGCAATGCTGTGGAGGTTAGAGAAGGGTGTTAGATTCCACTGGAACTGGAGTTAAGGATGTTTCTTAGCCCCCATGTGGGTACTGGGAATTGAACCTGGGTCCTCTGAGCCATCTCTCCACATAGACCCTCTTCCCCCCAAGCATTAATTTCTAGTATTGGGCTTTGTAATACCCTCTCATTGAAGTCAGTAATGACATTCTTTTCTGTGTGTTAGCAGACCTTTGCTAGAGTTTCCTGAGACTGGCTGGCATCATCTCAAGCTCAGTATTTCATCCTTTCCTTCTAGAATTCATGTTCTGATTTACTACACATACCTTTAAAAATATTTATTTGCTAATTTACTTATTTAACATGTATGAGTGTTTTGCCTACATGTATGTAGGTGTATTTGTGTGTACAGTGCCCACAGAAGCCAGAAAATGGTGTTGGATCCTCTGGAACTAGAGTTGCAGATGGTTGTTAGCCTCCATGTGGGTGCTGGGAACTAGACCTGGTTTCTCTGCAAGAATAACCAGTGCTCTTAACTCTGAGCCATCTCTCCAGCCCCTGCCACTGCTGTCACCCCCACCCCCTGCCAGTGTTAGAATTCGTATCTAGTACTGCTTTTGAACCTATTTGGTTCAAATAATATTTTCATGAAAAATTTTTGTCATTAAACAAAGTTGGGGTCTTATGTAATTTCTTATTTGGTCAAATCCTTTTTAAAAATTCAGTTAGAACGTAAGTTTTAGTACTTCATAGTAGTACACCTATAACTGACTGCTTTTTCTTTTTTTATAGCAGGGGATGTTTTTGGGTGTTATTAAAAAACTGAACCATTAGAAAAGAGAAAAAAACATTTTCTCAGTAAACCTGGAAAAGCATTTTTTGCCTGAGTTTCTGTGCCCTATCTGTACTTTCTTGGCCATAGAATATAGTACATAGCCTGGTATGGTGGTATAACCCTGTAATCAGCACTGAGGAAGAGACTGAGGCAGGGGCATCTTTCTTTCCTTGTCTATATAGGAGGCCTAGTCTGTAGAAGAAAAATTTACTACATGGTAAGTGGGAGGTGCCATGTAAAACTTAAAGTGTTCTTTATAAAGTGGTTGGTGGTTTTATCAAAAAAAAAATAAGTCTGTATTTTGCCAGTTATAAATTATTATTAAGTTATTGATATTATAGACCGATCAAGAATACAGGAGGGTCATTGTAAAATAAGTAGTTTTAATTGTTTATCCATAAGGTAAGTATAAGAGTGCTGATTTTAAGTTTTTTTACAGAAGCATTTCTTAAATTACTTATAATTATAAAAGAATATTGTTTATATAAATGGATTATGGTTTAAGTTTTAATATTTTACTTCTCCATTTTTAGAAGTACAAAGAAAAGGACAAACACAAACAAAAACACAAGAAACAACCAGAACCATCCCCTGCTTTGGTTCCATCCTTGACTGTTACTACAGAAAAAGTAAGGCTTTTTAAGTACTGTGTTGTGTTTATATAATAACTAATTACATGTTAGTTTTTAGCTGATTATAACTCTACCATCTCCAGCATGCTCCAGCCCCTTAGAGCTCTCCCTTTGTTCTTTATGCTGTTTTCTACTCATTATTCCTCCTTCTTTCTTCTTCTTTCTTTTTTTTTTTTTTTTTTTTTTTTTTTTTTGAGACATGATTTGCCTAGACCTCACTATGTAGACCAGGGTGGCCTTGAGCTCACAGAGATCCGTCTGCCTCTGCCTCCTCAGTGCTGGGACTAAAGGCCTGTGCCACCACACCTGGCATTTCTGTTTATCCTGTACTCATCCCAAAGCCTACATAAGGATAGCAATCAAGAGGCACCATGTAAATTAAGGAAATTGAGTTTAAAATAGGACTTCATCCACATGTGATTTTAAAATGGGCATTAGCCCTTGCTGATTGAACCGTTGGATAATTTACCTCTCTTCAGCTCAGTTTCATTAGCCCTAAAGTAGGGAGAACAGTTGTTGAAATTAAACGAGGTAAAACATTAAAACAAATTATGTTATCTGTTTCATAGAAAGTATTACTTAGGAAATGTTAGGTATTATTAGGATTGTTATTTGATTAATATCAAAATTAATAGTAGCACAACATTGGTTGGGACAGAATAGCAACTGAGGAGGTACAGTAGGAGACTAGACCAGGTAAAAGGTCTCATGATGAAGGGCTGTGTAGACCACAGTAAAGACTTTATCTTAGAGTTTGAGTGAAAAGTGAGCTATTAGGCAGTTTTTTGGGTTTTTTTTTTTTTTTTGTCTTTTGAGACCAGGGTCTCCCTGTAGCCCCAGCTGTCCTGGAGCTCACTATGTAGACCAGGCTGGCCTTGAACTCACAGAGATCCACCTGCCTCCCAAGTGCTGGGATTAAAGGCATGCGCCACCATGCCCGGCCTTAGGCAGTTTTTGAGACAGGGTCAACCTATAGCCCTGGGTGGTCTGGAGCTCCACATATATCAAGCTAGCCTCAACTCACAGAGGTCCACCTGACTTGCCTCCCAAGTGCTGGGATTAAAGGCATGGACCACCACACTTGGCTTTGTAAGGAGCTTTGACTGCTTGTTGTAACGAGAAAGTGAAGAGTGGAAGCCAGGCATCTGTTGGGTTATTACAATAACCCAGTGAAGGTGTCAGTAGTATTGCAGATAGCACATAGTCTTTGAATTCTGAATACATTCAAACATGAAACCCTTGTGACTGTCCTAGATAACTTAGAGATACCAGAAGAAGAAAGAATCTACACATATTCCACAGGTGTTACCCCAGATAAATAGAAGGAATAAATTTGTTCTTAAATTATGGAAAAAACTGTATGTCATAAGCTAGAGGAAATACAGTTTGTTTCATATATATTACTAGTTTTCTATTGCTGTCAGAGCTGATTGCTACACATTCAGCAGTTTATAATGAAATCCAAATTTACCATGTCACTGCTTCTATAAGTAAGAACATCTGGGTGGAGTCTGATGGTTTATTTATTACAGGTAAAGGTTCAAATCAAGGTGTCATTACCTTGGTTCTTAGCTGAAATAATCTGCTTCTAAAGTTCTTCCCAGAATTTGGTTCTTTATGGTTGCAGGATTGAGGGATCCATCTGCATGTCAGCCATCAGTGGGCAGTCCATACTTAGCTGCTAGGCAGCTAGATCATTGCTTCCTCAACCACATAATCTTCATCTCAGGGCCAATAACAGCATGTTTTATATTTGGAATCTCTCTGACTTTACTGCAGGTGTATATTTTCTGTTTTTAGTTTGAGAAACTTCTCAAGGGCTCATGGTATTGCATTAGGTTTACCTGAAAAATCCAGTGTATGATTTCCGTGTTTTAAATCCCCTAGCTTAATTGTATCTGTAAATTCTTTTATTTATTTATTTTATTTTATTTTATTTTTTGGTCTCTTTGAGACAGGGTCTCCCTATCATATGGAGACTGAAGAGATGGTTCAGTGGTTAAGAGCACTGGCTACTCTTGCAGAGAACCTGAATTGGGTTCCCAGGACCCACATGGTGGCTAACAAGCATCTGTAACTCCAATGCCAGGGGATCTGACATCCTCTTCTGACCTCTGCGGGCATTGCACAACAGGGTGCACTTACATTCATGCAGGCATAGACTCAAGAAGTAAAGTGAAAACAATAGAATTTTTTTTTTTTTTTAAAGACTTATGATGTGGCTTTCTTGGTGGACTATTCCTCCTGTCAAAGATACATTAGGGTTGAGGTATCTATTAGACATCCAATTTACAGGTACTGGTTAGCTGTTGGACACACACTCTGCCATTCAGTAAATAGAACCAGCCTTTGAATGTTAACTTGGTAATTCTGTGCATATGTGCATATAGAATTATTTAAAACTGGGAGAGGGCATAAAATCAAGTGCCCTAGTTTGCTTCTCTGTTCCTATGGTAAAACCATGACAAAATGCAACTTGGGGAGGGCAAGATTTGTTTCATCTTAGAGGTTTCAATCCATCATCAAGGGCACTCAAGGCAGAAACCCAGAGGCAGGAACCTGGAGGCAGGGTATTGAAGCTGAAACCATGGAGACACTGCTTACTGACTTACTTCCCTTGGCTTGCTCAGCTCCCTTTATTACACAGCTCAGGCCAGCTGCCCAGGGCTGGCACTTGCCACAGTGAGTGGACTGGCTTCTACATGAATTAGCAGTGAAGAAAATCCCTCATAGAAATACAGACCAGTCTGATGGAGGAAGTTCTTCAGTTGAATCTCCCTCTTTCCTATAGTCTCAAATTGACAACTAAGATTAGCTGTCACACCAAGGGAGGAGTAGGTAGGGTAGGTAAAGAGATTAAGTCTGTGTTGCAAGGTGCAACCAGCAACAAAGACTGTAAGAAGAGGCCAACATTTAAAAGATTTTATTTGTTTATTTGGGTTTTTTTTTGGGGGGGGGGGTTCTCCTTGTAGCCCCGCCTGCCCTGGACATTGCTATGGAGATGCAGCTGCGCTTGACTTCACCGACCTCCACCTACCT